TGCAAAATGAGGTATTTGTGTTGTTTTAAGTCACCAAGTTTGTGGTAATTTGTTACAGCAACAATAGGAAACTAATAAAAACAACAGGAGAGGTTAAAAGCAGACATGTCTAGAAATACAGGAGAAATTATAAAATGTATTAAGAGAAAGTTATGTCCAATTTGAGCCAATAAATTTTAAAACTTTTAAGAGATAGAGCAATTTGATAGAAAAATATATACTACCAAAAGTTAACCCTGGAAGAAATAGAAAAACTAAATAGATTTATAACCACTAAAAGTATTTGACAATTACAAATAAAAATGTGTAGGGAAATTTTTAACCTGCTCTGTGCCCACTACAAAATTAAAAACAAGACATATGCTGGGATGTGTTCATAAACAATATAACCAAGAAAGTATTAAAAAGGTTAGACAGGGGCCGGGTGCGGTGGCTCACGCCTGTAATCCTAGCTCTCTGGGAGGCCGAGGCGGGTGGATCGCTCAAGGTCAGGAGTTCAAGACCAGCCTGAGCAAGAGTGAGACCCTGTCTCTACTAAAAATAGAAAGAAATTAGCTGGACAACTAAAACATATATATAGAAAAGATGAGTTGGGCATGGTGGCGCATGCCTGTAGTCCCAGCTACTCGGGAGGCTGAGGCAGGAGGATCTTGAGCCCAGGAGTTTGAGGTTGCTGTGAGCTAGGCTGACGCCATGGCACTCTAGCCAGGGCAACAGAGCCAGACTCTGTCTCGAAAAAAAAAAAAAAAAAGGTTAGACAGGGAACTTTTTCAAATAATTAAGAAAACATCCAAATTAAAACAGGTAAGAATATAAAAGGCAATTTGAGAAGATGAAAGAGAAATGGGCAGTGAATATATAAAATCTCAGCTTCCATAGTACTCAAGGAAATCAAATTAAAAGAAATTACTATCTTAAATTCTACCACAGCAATAAAATTAAATTATGTGATAACTTTATGTGTTAAGAATATCGGAGGGTAAGTCTACTATACTTTTGCAGATGGAGAAAAAAAAACCACACAGAGAACAATCTATCCATCCACTTAGGAGAACAATTTGCCTAAACTGGTAAAGAAAAGACACATGTTAAAAAATCCAGCAATACCAATTCCTGATATCTCCATGAAAGATATTAAAATATGTGAAGTAGGAGGCATTTACAAAAATGCTCACTGCAACACTGCTTAAAAATAATAAGTATAATTAATAGTGGAATAACAAACAGTGGTTTATTCATACAGCGAAAGTATGTAGCTATTACAAGTAAAGAAGTGGTTATACACATATTTTCATAGATGACTCTTAAAAAGAAAATGTTAGATGTAAAGAACAATTGTTAGGATGCTACATGCTGCATGGCACCATTAATGAGAAATCTCAAAATAAAAACACAATACAATACATTCTTTTGTGATACCTATCTCTATCAGTTAAATTTAAAAAGACACGCATGGAATTTTCCCAAGAATGATTTCTACTATGGAATGAGAGAAGAAGGAGCAAGGATTACTATTTTAGCTCTGTCTGAAATATTTGGTGGAGGGGAGAATCTATAGAAAATAGCAAAATTAAACATTTATTTATCTGTTTATTCTCATTGCCAGATACTAAGGTGTTTGCTCTATAATTTTCTATACGATTTCACATAAGAATTAATTCATAAATTTAAAAAATATATTTTTAAATGGATAGCAACAATCAGTTTTTACTATCTCCACCAGTCCATAGAATGGAGAATGGGACTTTGCCAGGTGTATTCTGGTAGGCCAGATAAATGCCAATAAAAATTTCATTAGGAAAATCTCTAATTAATAAATGAAAGGATGTTCAACCTGAAATATGAAATGTTCAGGCAGAGGCTCCCTCCTCCAGTCCACAATGCAAACTTTTTCAGTACATAAAAAGGGAAAATAAAAAAAATCAAATAAGTTGTTTCTTAGAGTGAGATATGTGCCCGTAAGACATCAGTACATGAACTCCCCCAGCTCTCAAAATTTGTTTCGCTTTCTTTTTTAGTAGTTTGAAAAATTGGAGAGGAAATCTGAAATAGTATCTATGTCTGCTTGCAGTAGCATTCATCAGACTGAAGTATACAAGAATAAAACAGAATACAGTGCCCAGGTTGGACTTCGTGGCCAGCATCAGAGGGGGGCCATTACCAAGAATTGTAAGAGGGAGAAAGAACTGGGGAGATCTGGAAACCTCAATTGTGATTCTGTGGCTTCATTTGTGATGGGAGCTTGGGAATTTCCGTAAAGAAACCAGGGAGAGTCTGATGAGAGTTTACCATAGAATTACTCAATTATTTTCATTTGCGTTTCTTTATGGGTTGGTCCACCAAAAATACATTTTTTGTAGTTTAGTAGTTTGACGCAAACTCTTTTACCAGATGAAGTTTCAGAGTAAATTAATCTCTAACTCCTAGCCTCAAGCAATCCTCCTGCTTCAGCCTCCTAAAGTGCTAGGATTATAGGCATGAGCCACCGCCCCCAGCCTCTCCATAAGTTGGAAAAGTATCTTCATACTTTAAATATCCAAAGAGAGAAATAATTTTATTTTGGACAACATTTATACTGTTAATAATTTTGAATATTTTCACTGATAAAACTGCATTTTATGAGAGGTTTTGTTTTCCTGATAGCTATAATAAGAATTGTAGAATTGCATGAAACAATACTCGTATACTCATGCCTACAACATGGCTGAATATTTGAATTTTCAGGGTGCATGGAACTTATGGAAAAATTAACCAAAGAGTAACATTATAAATAACAGGTCTTTACTCTGTTACTATTGACACTCTATTACACAACAGGAGAGATCAGAGAACTTGGAAATTTCTTTAAACTCATTTGTCTGAGCAGATGCTTTGCTGTTACAAAGTTTTCAGTTCACAGTTTCATGGGTAAGTAGGAAGGAAGGGAGATGAGGACTCTGCTTTGTCTCCTGTATTGAACCCAAGGATTGGTCAGCACGCTTCACCTTAGAATCAGCTGGAAGCAAGAAAATATTCAAAACGAGATGATCTTTTTTGCAATCAAAGCCATGATTCATAATAAATTTGTTTCAGATAAGCCCCTAAGATTTATTACAGATTAATCTACTAAACTTGGAAATTTTAAATGATTAATCTCCTAATACTCCATTCAATATTAAATTTTATACTCGTCCTTAATCAGATACAATCATTTGTCATTTGTTAATTACATCACAAGAAAGAGCAAAACAATGTTTAGGGTGGGCCCAATTTTCCAAACTCAGTGTCATAGCACGTTCAAACGTGACCCACCCAGAAACCACATTTCAGGGGCAGCTGCTAAATGCACACGAAGGACCCTGCACCTCCACTGTCAGGGTGCACAGCAGGGCTATTTCAACAGGAGGGAATCCTGCCATTATGCTGCTTGTCAGGCTGCTGTGGCCATTCATGATCTCCATCTGCTTAGGTACAAATAATTGCAAATCACAGCGTGGCTGCCTGTCGCCACTCAGAGGTGAAATGAGACAGAGAAGCGGATGTCTCAAATAATGAGAAACTCTTCCCTGCACCACTCATCGACATGTCATTTTGATCTGTATCAAAGAACTGGAAATACTTCAGAGACCTGTCTATACTTTCTTTTCTAGCTGTCTCTTGGTCACTTTACATTAATTCATCCATTAAGAAAATTAAACGACATAAAAGATTAACAGCTAAATTCTACTTGATCACGTAAAAGCATACAAAAAATTCAGCTCCCAGCTACAGTGGTTTTGCATGCTCAACGTGCTTGTAACTATCCCATTCTGTAAGAGTAGATAATGACATTATATCACAGAAAGATCTGGCATGCTTATCATGACTTCATTTTACACATAGAAAAATATGTGCAGCTGCAGAATTTAACACGGAGATTGAATACTTGGGATAAATAGCATAGAAAATGTAACATCAAGACAATTCTAGGACACATGATCTAAATTAGTTCAATGCTACTTGTGAGGGCAGCAGGACTGAATATCCTGATCCTAGTCTAATAAATCAAACTCAATGTCAGATTTTGAAGGATTAAGTTTTATTCCTGTTATAATTTTATAAAAACACAAATAGTTAAATAGCTCCTGAAAGTCACAAGGACTGATTTTTACCATTTGATTTTGAAGTGGCTTTATTTATTATAGAATGTAAGTAGAGTCCTGAACTCAGTAAGAAGGCAGAAACATGCAATAATTGTAAAGGATAAGATTACCTGTCACAAACAAAGCCAAAGATCCATGAATATTCTTCTTTAGATTTCATTAGATACTGGATAAAGAAAAGCACATATATGCTGAATGAATGACAAGTAAGGAGATGACAAAGAGGGTCCATGGCTCGTTATAAATTCTACTTTAAACAGACCCCAGAATTATTCCACTGAATAAAATCAACATACGTCAACTGCAGTTCCCCGCAGCTCCAACCTTCAATATGAATTGCTTTTTCCATGCCTCTTCTCTATGTACTATCTAATTTAATAACCAAGAAAGGACAAGTAGACAAAGTAAAGATTTGGGGTTAGCCAGTCACAGTTTCTCCTCTCTGTGCATAGACCACGTGACTATGAACATGAGAAACCAAATTTCCTGTTAAGGGAAGTGACATCAGAACACAGGCACTACACATACACACTGCTGGTCACTGAGAGACAGTGAACCTGGAGCTTCAGGTGGCACGAAGCACATTTGTGCAGGGGGATACATGCCACATGCCTCCCTTTAGCCTGCTGTGGGTGTTCCTGGCCTTCAGCTACTCTGGTATGGATGGTTCCAAACATGGGTAAGAATGTTAAGGATGAGAGGGTTGCACACAGGCCTGTGGAACTTCTCATGCACTTGAGGAGGAAAGGGGAAATTAGAGAAAAGTGAGCATACTAGGATTTCAATTTGTTTTGTATTTGGGTCTAAATTAGTCTAAATCTTACAACATTTTATGTGCTACATCAGAGGATCAACTGTGTCTTCTGATTTTTCCCACAGGATCCACTGTGGCCCAGAAAGTTACTCAAGCCCAGACAGCCAGATCCATGACCGTGGGGCGGACGGTCAGCCTGAACTGCCGGTATGAAACAAGCTGGAATTATTACTATATTTTTTGGTACAAGCAACTTCCCAGCAAAGAGATGATTTTCCTTCTTTACCAGTATTCTGGTAATCAAAATGCAAAGGATGGTCGCTATTCTGTCAACTTCCGGAAAGAAGTTAAGTCCATCGATTTGACCATTTCAGCCTTAAGGCTAGAAGATTCTGCAAAATATTACTGTGCTCTAGCAGAACGCACAGTGTTTGAAGAGATAGTAAAGGCAAAACAAAAACCCCAGAGCTCAAAAAGACAAAGCACCCCCACCCCGTGCTGCGGGAGCCAAGCTGAAATGCACATCTGCAGATCCCAGGCAAGAAATGGTAGTGACTGTGGTCTGTGGACTTAACCTGTGGTCTGGATCAGAAGGTTGAATTCTAAGTAAAACCTCCTTATATCTCATTTGGGAACAGGTGTTCAGAATGACTTTCTTCTAATACTTGACTTTTTAATTTAAAATAGATCACACAGAAAATGTACAAACTGTTTAAAGTTGACAAACCTGCCCCACAATAATGTAAAGTGGCAGTTTCACTTAAATATGCTCATAGCAGAAATCTGGGTCTAGGTATCTGGAATCGTTTTAAAAATGATTTCCTGAGCCCTTTCCCCTTAGGCTTATGGCAATTAGATTACAATCAGAGAAGCAGAACCACCATGAGTGATACAGAATAAGAGCTTAGTCATAAGGATTTGACCTCTTGCAATTCCTGGAGCTCGTGGACTTCCAGGAGCTATTCAGTTGTTTATGTCTTATGAAATTATAATAGGAATAACATATTATTCTTTCAAAAATCTGACATTGAGTTTTATTTACTAGACTCTGAAGATCAGGATATTCAGTCACGCTGCCTTCACAAGTAGAGTTGTACTTACTACTAGATCATGTGTCCTAGAATTGTCCCCAGATCACACTTTCTATCCCATTGATCCAAAGCATTCAGTCTCCTCATTAAATTCTGGGGCTGTGCATTGAGTATGTGCATTAATTAAAGTCAGGATAAGCATGCCAGACATCTCTGTGATACAAGCACAATGCAGTCCTACTCCTATGCAAAGCTGTTGTCTTTGCATCCGGTATTGAGCCTGAATTTACTACAGGTCAGCTAGACTAACATTTGAGAAGGTAAGTTGCATGTGGACAAGAGCATGCACAAACTGTGACTTGTAAGGACATCCTGCAACCCATAAGGACAAATGGAACCCACAAGAGCAAACTAAAATTTGTCTCTTCCCCGCTTTGGTCTCATAATGGTGGGTGGCCTTCAAAAGTAGCATTAGTATTTGCCATCATGCTACCTGGGTACTTGGCCCAAGACAAGGAGAAGCTGAAGGAGGAGACCAGATGGGATATGGAGGAGTTTTCAGTCAACAGTAAGAAGGACTATTAGATCAGGAGCAACATGTGTGCTCCTCGAGCCTGGCACCAATCGTACCCATTTTTTTTCTACTTAACCCAGAACAGTACTAGGAAGCAAATTGTGGAAAAAATATTTCCAGTTCCTTAAGTTGAGACAGTGCAAAGCTACCACAGTACCCGCCCTTAGAAACTTGACATCCATATGCACCTCTCTTAACAAAATTTAACTTTCAAATAAAGACAATAGAAAATATATGCTTCCTGCTAATGTGGTGCAATTATTACTTTTTCAATGATAAAAATGCTAACCCTTACCCCTAACAAAGATACAGAGTTCATTTATCCATCTTTGGGTCATGTTCTATGCTCTTCTAGCTCTTGCATTGGTATCTAGTAGCTTAGCTACTGAAATATAATGAGATATAAACTTAATAGCACATCTTTTGCTTCTACATGTAGATAAATAGGAGTACAGTAAAAACATAGTTAATAGATACTTGAATATACTCACATGATAATTAAAAAGAAATTTTCATAACATTGTAGTTCTTTTTTCTACAATGATCATATGATTATAGCTGGGTTTTGTTTTGTTTTGTTTTTATGGCAGGGTCTCTCTTTGTTACTCAGGCTCAAGTACAGTGGCCATATCAAAGCTCACTGTAACCTCAAACTCCTGGCTCAAGCTATCCTCCTGCTTCAGCCTGCTGAATAGCTGGGACTACAGACATGTGCCACCATGCCCAGCTAATTTTTCCATACTTTGTAGAGACGGGGTCTCACTCTTGCTCAGCCTTTTTTCAAACTCCTGGCCTCAAGTGATCCTCCTGTCTTGGCCTCCCAAAGTGCTAGGATTACAGGTGTGAGCTACTGCGCCTGGCCCTGTAGTTGGTTTTTATAACTATCTTTTCCATTACCCATTTGATAATCTCTCCGTTCTCAGCAAGCACCTTCCCTCACTGGAACACTCGACTTTCCTTAAAACAAGTTATTTGGTCAAGAGCAATGCCATAGGGCATGTCACAAATTGGAATAAGGAATTCTGTGAGCCCACCACTGTGACTTTGGCAGAAGCATTGTAGGCAGGGAAGGCAAATCCATACTCAGAGCATTTATTTAAGCAAAATAAAAAATATAAAACACAAAACAAAGTTCCAACAAGTAGCCAGAGAAAGTTGATACACCGTGTTCTGGGAAACGTCGCCAAGAATGATGCCTGACTTCTCATCAAAAGCAGTAGAAGTCAACAAGGAAAAAATATTTTTAAAGTGTTTAAACAAAATAAGCAAATAAAACTTTCAAACTAACTTCCTATGAACATGATAATATATTTTTAAACTATTTTTTGTCAAAAATCACCATTAAGAAGGTAGAAAGTCAATCTGCAGACCAGAAAACTATATTTGCATTGGTGTATTTCTGAAAAAGAACTCAAATACAAATATATATAAAGCTCATACAAGTCAATAAGAAATGAAACAAGCAATAGAAATGGCAAAACTTTGAAGAGTTACCTCAGAAATATATGGAACTATAATATCGAATAGTATTAAATAATAAGCATAAAAAACAGTTGCTATCGTTACTCATTAGGAAAATGAAAATAAAACCCCATTTGAGTATTCCACCTGTGCCCCTTAAGCATCCCAAGTGTGTTAATGTATCCAGCAGGAAGTAACGCCCAACAAGGTAGAGAAAAATCATGACTACCTCAAGGGAAAGGGAGGGTTGAGTAAGTTTTTAGAAACTTCCATTGCTGAACCGATGGGCAGAGAAGAAGAAACAGTAATGGGCCACAGACCTGGACAATGAAGAAAAGGCAGGTTTTACCGAAAAAAAAAAAACAAAAAGAAAAGAAAGTTGACATCTATTAGGTATTGTAAATGTCAGGCACTGTATTACACATTTCTAATTCATTATCTATGAGATAGGTTTGATTGTTCCCATTTGTTTTATATTTGGGAAATGAGACATAACTTTCCCTAACTCTGAAAAACCTGTCTAACTTTTGCCAACCAGAGTGGAGGGTCTTAGAAGGCTCCTAAAGAATGAAAGTTGGACTATTGAAAGCATTTACCCCGCAGCAGCGAGTTGGCTGTCTCAATGAGGGTGACAGGGTGACAAACCTAGGTACAAATTGCCTTAGCGTCAATAGAAGAGGAAACCATCGACTGACAGCTTAACAGTCGGAATAGTTAGCGGATCTTTTCTACAGTGGTGTTCTGGGAGTCTAAGGGGCTAGAGGGAAAGAGGGGATATTATTCCTTAAACACCGCCAGCGTGTTTCCCTATCAGGACGTTTGCCCTTCTCCTTTGCTCCCTCTGCCTGTAATGCTATTCCACCTAATGTCTTCATAGTGTACCTCTGAACTTCCTTTACGTCTTTCCTCAAATGTCACCTCTTTATGAAGCCTTTATTTAAACCTTTCTATTTTCCTTCTTTGAGAGTCAGGCTCCAGCATACCTCACATGTCCAGAAGTAAAGCGATCTTTGCTGAAGCACTGCCACCTGGTGTCTCTGAAACACTTTGCGAGCTTTGCACTGGCCTCCCTGCTGCCGCCTGTGTTATGCATGGGTTAAGTTGTGGGGAAGTCTACTTGCAATAGGAGCCACCCATTTCTGAACCAGTCAGTACCTTCCCATTGCAGTACTCATGGGAGAGAGGATTCAGGAGGACTGGCTGGTTTCCTATCTTTTGCCAGAAGATGTGAAGGTCATTGACTTCAAAATGACAAATATATGAGATGATTTAGGCTAACAAGATACCTTGGAAATAAAGCTTGGCCTTGTTGCACAAGGTGGGTGGTTTTCTCTGTTGAGTAAGATTGTGTGTCCTTAACTGTGTAGAAATATCCTGAAAAGTGGGAGGAAGTGTCAACGATGGAGAAAAATAAGCCACTGTAGGGAACACTCCATCGTATACTCTCCCCATGTGATAACATGCCTCCCAACCTCCCAATATAACGTCACAATACACTGATTTTCCATGAACACTAAGAAACATGCTATAACATGGATATTTATGACAATATTTGAAATCTGCTATGCAAATTGCAAATGACACCTCATAAAAATACCAAGTTTTATCTTGTGGATAAACTCCCCTGCAATTTCAGATTATGTCTCCCAAACTCACAACATTTTCACACTGAATACATCTGGCTGAGTACCTAAGATAGAGAAGTTATTGTACCAGATATTTACATACATGTTCTCATTTAATTCTTATTGGAACCCGTCAAGATTTTTAACATCCTCCTTTAGGGAGGCAATGTAGCAAAGTTATTAAGACCATAGGCTTGGATTGGATCTCTAGCTCTAACACACATTAGTTGAATAATCTTGGGAAAATTACTTAATAATTTTTATGCTTCAGTTTCCTCATCCCCACAATGTGAATATTGATAGTTTCCACTACAAAGAGTTATTCTGAGAAGTAAATGAGGGGATGAATGCCAATGCTTAGCCCAGTGCCTATAAAAAGCTGCTGATTATATTCAGAAAGGAAATTGAATACGAGAGAGGTCAAATATCTTGCCTAGTGTCAGAAAGTGTCAGAGTTGAGAATTGCCTCCATATCCTGTGAGAGCAGATACCTCTTCTCACTCCAAGAGCCACTCTCCATCTCATTACAGTATTATATTGTCTTCATAGTGCTTACCTCTCCATAAAATTGTCTTATTAATATTTTTTTTAAATCCATTAATTTAATTTCTTCTCCTCCCCCTGCACTGTAGGCCTTTTTCTATCTCTTCTCTAGTACAACCTGCATGCCTAGCACACAGGAGGCACAATCAATATATATTACTACCTGTTGAATGAATGCACAACAGGTAAAATCATGTCTGCAGTCCTTGCAGTTCAACACTGATATAAAACATTAAACTGGACTAACCTTTGTGTTGATTTTTTAGAATTGTCGAGATTTCTACCCTGGAAGTCTCTTAACACAAGTTTTAAATGTGTAAATGCTAAATAGTTGAATAAC